AGTTTGAGTAAGTCACGCCGTGTAAGCTAGGCTGTGTAAGTCGCGCTGCGTAAGTCACGCTGCGTAAGCCAGGCTGCGTAAATCAGCTTCATGTTCAAGAGCGACGGCCTTGAAATCCAGGAGGATCAGCCCTCCCTCTTTTTCTAGAAGACTTCTCAAAAAGAAGTAGTCTCCGGAAACTCCGTGTTTTTATTCTGAGAAGGGGGGCTCAGGCAAGTAGTTTGGCGTGTGAAACTGCAATTGCCCACGCCTTCAGAGCCACAATCAAGGCAGCAGCGATGGCACGAACGTGCATCGCGTTGCCCGCGAGCTCGCCCAACTTGACATTCGTGAGTTTTGGCTTGCTAAAAGTTTAAGTGAAGCTGTCCTTCTGAGTGACACAGGTCACGTCGAGACGGTGGGCTGGAAATCCCATCATTGTGAATTTCTCAAGGCCTGGCCAACTTGTTGGCGCACACGGCTCGAACTGTTGAGAAGTCAGGAAAAAAGGTGCGCCTGTGAGCCATCTGCGCTGGTGTCGAAGGAAGTAATCGCTGTTGGGTCTTGGGAAGCAAGCATGGAGCTTATCAACTTGAGGTTTTCAAGGCTTGGGCGTAACGCAAGGAAAGGCTTGGTCCTTGCAAACGGCAGGCATCCTGTTGACGTTCTGGCTGAGGTCGCAAAGAGCCCAGGTAGGCTTGATAGTGGAGAGAATCCCCAAAGCCTGAGTCGCAAATTGACAAAGCGTTTGCAGCCCTATTGATGGCTGGCCTGGGAACTCCTCTGAAGCATGAGGTCCTTGAAGGGGGCCATGTTCTGCTTGGCTTTGGCCATGTCCACCTGAAACAAGCGATCTGGCGAAGTGTCCTGGTAGAATCTTACGTGCCTTATTTTCCTCCATGAACTTCCATTGGATCTGTCGCCACTTGGGCTGCTTTTTTTTGGGCCTACCCAGCAGCACCCGTGCGAACGCAGCAAAGGTGCAAGTGAGCTATCATGTCAATGCAGTCAGAGCCTTTGAGGAGCATATCCAGTGCCAAAGCCGGGGCTTCAGCTCCACTACCTCATCAAACAGTTCAGAATAAAAAACCGAGGAAACCTCACCTTATCAATCAGTACTGAGTGCTTGGCAGTCTGTCATGATGGGCAAAGGTGCTTTTAGAGGTCGCAGGTGTGCGGCGAGCCCTGGGCTCACAGAAGCACACACATCCCTTCTCCAGTGGAATGTCTAAGCAGTAGGCCGGAAGTTGCTGCGAAAGCCACTCCAAACTCCAAAGCCCGGATTTGATCAGCTGTGAGCTGAGGACCCTGAGTGATCCTCAGAGCAGGCCAAAAATGAGGTATGTGGCTTAGGAAACAAGGGTAATATAAGGTTCGCGCTCCATCTCGCTGCCGGTCTCCGAACTGCTTACAGATTGGCAAAGGCTAAGGATCTCGGAGTCCGAACTTTCACAGCAACAACGCGCCAACTTTGGCATTTTGGACCCGATATGGCTGCAAGGAAGCAGCGAGTTTTCAACACCCACTTGCAATTCAGAAAGCATCAGGTTCCTACAAGACCCCCTTACCAGTGGGTAAGGATTGTCCTTTCGACTCCAACGAGGTTGAACCGGAACGCATCACCGAGTGGAGATGCAAGGGGAAGGTTTCCGTGCATAGGGACAACTGGCAAGAGACTCCGTATCAAAGGATTTCATCCAAAAGTTGGTTTGGTAAGACGTGGTTCTTTCCGAAAGGACGTGTGTCGCCAGATCAAGCGCAACTGTGTGCAGCCGCAGCCAACCCTTCAGACGGTAATCTCAGAGCTATGCAAAGGTTCATCGAGCAAGCCGGTGACAGCCAAGCACGAACTAGGAAGGCCAGAGAAATCCTTGAACTCACTAAGGACTTGGTCAAGCCTGCACGTGAAGACCGCAAAGGTCGAACGGCGAATCCGACACTCTTTGAGTTTTGTTGCGATGAGAACTCAACGTTGGGTCAGATCAACGAAGAAAGAGGAATCAACCATTTCCGACTCACAACAAAGAACTCTGACATGTCAAGCCAGTGGGAAAATGACAGTCTTTTGAAGGTCATAGAACAATTTCCCGGGTGTGATTTGTGGGGATCGATTCCTTGCGGCCCCTGGTCGCAATGGCAGAATGTAAATCTCCATCAATACGGAAAACCGTTTGCTAAGAAACTCAAGAAAATGCGCAAGCATTCTAGAAAAATTTTAGCAAACTACATTCGTTGTGCAGACAAAGTCCTCAGTCAAGGGGGCCACGTTGCCTTCGAGTGGCCGAAGACATGTGCCGGATGGGACTTGCCAGAGCTGATCAGGTTTGTCAAGAGGCATGACTTGTTCGTGGCGGAACCTCAAGGTTGTGCATTTGGACTCTGTGACCAAGAAGGTAAATGTCACCTCAAGACGTGGAGAGTTGTAACCTCTTCATGGAGGTTGGCTAAAAACCTAGACAGTGCCAAGTGCCAACATCCGCGTGACTATAAGCATTCACCTCTTGCAGGCAGTAAGACACCTAGAAGTGCCTTTTACCCGATGCCTATGGCAAGGTGCATTTCTCAGTCCTTATATCCCTGGATTGACGCACCGCCTGCAATGCCTGTGCAAGTGTCAGCTGGGCCAAACTCCGTGCAAGAGTTCCTGTGTGGCGACCACGCCCCGGAGAACGAGGCAGGTCATCAGGAGCTGCCAGGAGTAGAACATGTGTTTGCTGGCATCCACAAATTGTTGGAGAGGAAAGAATGGGGTAACTTTCCTGGAGCGCAAGACGCCATTGACAATGAAGTGAATGGGCTAGTAGCTAACGGAACCTGGACTTTCGATGAGGTAATCTCAAAAGAGGACCTTTTGGCAAGATGTAAAAGGAACAGGGAGCATATCAACATTGCTTCCCTAATGACCATCTTGTCGATAAAGCATTGGGAAACCCCAGAACTCCGTAAACTCAAGGCCAGGATAGTTTTCCGAGGGGATCACATCCTCACGGAAGACAACAATCTTGCGGTGCTCCAAGAAGCAAAAGTCACTCCGACCGGAATGACCGGTGTCAACATCAATCTAGCATACGGCGCCATCAAGGGTCACGAAACTCGTCAATCAGACGTAGTAAAAGCCTACACCCAAGCGTACCTTGGGACTAAGGTGCCCACATGGGTGATCTTGCCTTGGGAATTGACTCCTCCAGAATACCGGCACTTCAAACAGCCGTGTGTGAGGTTGGTCAGGAGCCTTTATGGCCATCCCGAATCAGGATACCATTGGGATCAAAGGCTAAGGGAAGTGATGAAACTTTTGGAAGGTCAACATGTTGATGAATTTCCATCTTCATTTTGGTTTCCACGAAGAAAGCTTCTTGTAGCTACGTCGACGACATTCTGTGCTCAGGGCCGTCATCAGAACAAAACAAGTTTTGGCAGGAGATCGAAAAGCATTTGGAGATCGAACCTCCAACTCAAGTTGAACGTGTGCTGGGCAGACAGCATAAATTCGACCGGACCAATGGATCGACCAAGGTTTCGCTCGAAATGTTCGACTTCATCGAGGATGTATGTGCAGTGTATGAGGGCTTGGCTCAATGTAAGTTGAGCACAGCTAAAAGTCCTTTCTGCCCAGAAGGTGGCCTTACAACCGCTGACTTTGAAAGTAAAGGGGTTTTGGCAACTTCTGCATGCAAAATCTTGATGAAAATCCTCTGGTGCGCTAGGCTAAGCCGACCCGACCTAATGAAAGGGATAGGGGATTTGACACGTAGGATTACCACATGGAGTCGAGCAGATGATAAACGACTCCATAGGCTAATGTGCTACCTGTATGGGTCAAAAGGGTACACTTTACAAGGACATATAGGCGACCCGCCAGAACTGCTCAAGCTGTGCTTGTACACAGATGCGGACCACTGTAGTGGCATCGAACACACGAAAAGCACGAGTGGCATGTTCTTGTCCATTGAGGGCCCTAATACCTTGTGGCCAATCGCGTGGGGCAGTAAACGCCAAACCGCGACTGCCAGGAGCACAACAGCAGCAGAGATGATCTCACTAGGATCAGGCCTTTTCGGCGAAGCATTGCCAGCACAAGGCTTCCTGGAATTGATCTTGGATCGTCAGGTTACGCTAGAGTGCTTTCAGGACAACTCAGCTGTAATCCAGATCGTGGCTGCAGGTTATAGCCCCAAATTGCGACACCTCACGAAGACGGAGAAGATCGAACTAGGTTCAGCTTATGAGGTCTTCGAAGATCCAAGTTGCAAACTCCTGTACATAGCAACGGACAAGCAGAGAGCAGATGTGTTTACAAAACCATTGCCGGTGTGCAAGTGGGACCATGCACTAGACCTACTTAACATGGCATCCTTAAGCTCAACTTGCAAAGTGCCATCTCGTGAAGCGGAAACGCTCCGAGACCCGTAGGCGTAGACCAGATAGTTAAATAACTAAACTGGAGTCTGCGTAGGACACTTTCCGAGTGTGAGAAGGGGGAGAAGAATGCCCCCTGCTGGAATCCACATTTTCCTGATGGTAGGTGGTGCATGCATGTCTAATTCAACCTTGCCCCGGAATTCATGTTTGCTTGAACTTTCCTTTGAATCAGGTTTCCAGGGTTGACACTGAAAAGAAACATTCAGTTCGCCTTGGATGACTTGTACATTTTGGCTCAAGGCAAAACAGGTTGTGCGAGTGAAGCTTCCGGTGCCGCCATAGCACTTTTGGGCATACTCTTTACTTGACTTGTCTTGATTCGTATTTCGTCTGGGCCCCTCCAAAATTGTGGTTTGCCTTTTGGCTTCCTTTTTAAGAAAAGCCCAGAAGGGGAAGGCCTCTGTAAATTGAGCCAAGTGGGGTGGGAGCTTGCACAATCACCCGGGAAAGCCCCACTAGGTCCCCCAGGATCGTGCCCTTTCTCACCTCTTTTTTGGTTGGGAGGGTTCCCCTACCAAAATGGACTACCAAAAACCAGTTGGTACCTCTATTCTATTCTCCCTGGAGGACCTAAGGACGAAACCAATGCTTCCCTCGAGGCCTACGTGTCTTGCTTTTGCGGCGCCTGCCATTGGTGCGCCCGGGGGATCGGGCCGGACGGTCGCCAGCGGTCGCCGGGCGGTCGCCTTGGCGTTGGCACGCCCCAGAAAACCACGAGCGATGAGCGAAAAGGTGTAGTTCTTCGGGCTGAGACACCAGAAAACCATCCCCTGGCTCAATTCTCACGACCCATCCAAGCCGAAGCGCCTTGTAATTGCTTGTTAGGACTGGCAATGATCGTTGCGAACGACACAGGCATCATATGCCTCCTGACTGGTTCAACTCTGGTTGCCTTCCTGCCAGGCTTGGCCTGGCGTGATGTTGACTCGTATTGCGCCCTGGTTGAGCGACTTGCCTGTTGAGTTGGGACGCTCACCCTCTGAGTTCCTCAGCTGAAATACTGTTGGGGAGTTTGTTTTGGGGCGGACGATTTTAATCCCGATCGGTGAGCGTGACAGGCTATATATCAGGTCAATATCTGCTTCCTGCCGCTTGTCAGTGGCTATTGTAGATTCGCGTGGTCGGCTCGAGGCGTTAACATCACACACAGAGCACCAGGGTCTCGGCCCAGCCGTGGGCAAACCAAAGAAGGCAAGTTTTATGCGGTCGCCATTGCGCGTCCTTGTCGGCAAACGTGTGTTTGTGTGTGTGTGTGTGCGCGCGAATGTATTCGTGTCTATTCATTCTTTTTCATGAGGGAGAAGACGTCCCACATCCCACATTAGGCGGGATCCTCTTCCAAGCCACAGCACAGACGGACAGAACAGAAGCAGCTACTTTCCTACTGCTGTCCTGGGCAGAGTCAAGAGAGCACCATTTCTCCTGGCGGATCCGCTGTGAGCTTCCGATGTGGGTGCGTATCCATGTCCGCGAGCGAGAGGCCAAGGCGGATCTTGCGTATAGAGCTTGGCTATGGAATTCCGAATGGTCGCGGCTTACCATGAGGTCTGGGGTAGACTTAGGATACATTTTACATTTTACCAGTGACTCAAAGTAAAGCAAACAATAAAATATACATTCTACAACTGAGCAGCTCTAAAAACCCCCCGTTACATGCCAAGCAAGAGTTGTGTCATAACAAGGCCCCGCGTAAGCAGAAGCCTGCACGGCGTAAGCGGGCGTAAGCACTTTTTGGGGAAACATGTTGCGTAAGCACCTGCGTAAGCTCTTCTTCGTGATTGCTTGGTAAGCTTTGTAAGCATGCTCGGAAGAGTTGTCCCACATGTGCTTATGCGTTTTTTGGTGGCTTGTGCTGTTGCAACCTAGTCGAGCTTGGCAACTTGCCCGGAGGACTTCGGCTGCAGGAAGACGTCGAAGACCGCATGTGCGCACCATTAGAAAAAACCAGCAGAACTTTGATTGGGAGCTCTTGGGGCTCATGCTAGGTGCTGTCGCAACCTCCACTAGGACAAACAAATGCTTCAGTAGCCGCTGATTTAGGAAAACTACAGCGGCGCGGGCGCGTAAGCTCGCGTAAGCAGGAGCGTAAGGTTCGCGCAAGCTCGCCTAGCTCAGCTGCCCGCTAGCCCTCGTGATGGATGCCGCTACCGCAAAAACCTGTTTCTTGATTTGCAGCAAAAACAACAACGCCAAGCTGCTGAAGCTCGCGAGCGTAATTCTTCGTCATCCCTTCCACACAGTCATCCACATCATCTTCAACAGTTCTGGCGGCTGCACGGGAAAAGAAGCCCGCGTAAGCAATTCTTGAGGGGAATTGCTCAAAACGCCGACGCGTAAGCGATGCGTAAGCTCTACATGCTGTCTGACTGCCGCGTAAGCTAAAACATGGGTCGCGTAAGGAAAGCGCAAGCTTGCGCGTAAGCAACTTGATACGACATAGGGATTCATGGGAGGTTTATAGAGTCAGTAACTGGGCCTAACTCTAATCTGGCTTTCCAAGGGAGTATGGAGAGTTTGAATCGCTAACACTCCATTTCGAACAGCCCTGCTTTGTGAGCATTGAGACAGACAAAAAGCCATATCTGATGTAGACTATAGGTGAGCTTAGGCGGGCCATACATAAATGATGGGCTCATATCTGAACATAGATCTTGTTACTTTAGGTGAGCTATGCACAAAAGATCGACTCATGTCTGAAAAATAGATCTTATGTTCCTGGACCTTCATTCGTTACATAAATTTGTGCCCCTTGGGTGTTTCGTAGCAGAAATTTGCTAGTCGGGCGGTTTTTTCGGGGGGAACGAGCACAAATTTATGTAACAATGGAAGGTCCAGGTTTGTGTGTCCGTGGAGTTGAAAGGATTGCCTCCGTCTACGGAACGATAACCGACTCTTGTGCTGAGCCTTGGAAACCGGTGCCAAAATTCCTGGGCGAATTTTCTTGGGCGACCGAAGCCAAAGGCGCCAAAGTCGGGACCTCTCGGAAACACAAGCTGGGCGTTTGAGATTGGAGAATGTGACTCCATGCGTGTTTTTCCATTAAAAGGCTTATAGGCCATTTATGGCTTTCTCCAGTAGACCTACAAGGTCTTCTTGACCTTTTTGCTCCTTTGGGTGGGTGGAGAGTGTAAGGGTATGTCGCATTTGGAGTTTCGCTGTGGCTCGATTCTCCGGGTCTATGTCTCGAAACAAGTCTTGGGCTCGGTTCCCTTTGTTTAATAGGATGGGTACCCTTTGGTTTTGGTTTTACAGGGAAACCAAAGGGAACAGTGTAAGACACACTTATTTTGTTTTCTCGCTCTGCTTAGGCACCTGTTGCAAGAGGACAGATCCTTTGATAACACGCCGGCCTTCTTCATGATAATATGACTTCCGTCTTTGAAAGCGGGGAAGTTCCTCCAAAGGAGATTCCTTCAGAAACGATGGCTCAGGTTCCAATGTTGATTTGAAAGGGAGTAGCCCATAGACCAACTGTGAAGGAGCCTGTCACCAGCATTTCTCCAACATGTTGCGAACCACCAAGAATTGACCCACCGACACATGTCTGACCCGGTTTCCTTGAAATCCCACGTGTTTTTTGTCCCACCAACATTTTTCCGTCAAGTACACCCCAGACCCCCATCGACATCCACCGACATTTCGTTGGAGCACATCTGTTCTGATTTTTCTCCCAAAAAACTCGAAGGGGTCCATTCTGTTTGACAACAAGGGTTCCCCGAGCTATACACCCCTCCCCCCTTCCGCAGCGTGCAGATCCTTGTTTTGAAAGAAATCACGGTTTTGTTTCGCTTTATCTTGCGTCAGTTTCCAAAAAACATACGTTCGAGTCACGGGAACCGCTGCTGTACACGGACCCGTCAGTAGTTTGTCAAGTAGTTTCACCCCTGAAGGTATATCTCACTTATAACTCCCGCCGTAAATATGCTATTTTTGTTCAGAACTTATGACACGTACCTTCCTTATAACATCTCGCTGATTTTTATATGCTGTGCTATTGCAAGACTTATAAGTGCTGCTATACGTTGTAAGTTAGCGAGACATACGGCTCTTAATATTAAGTGGGTGTTCCTCCAAAAGCGATGAACCCCCGATCAGAACCAACCAGGCATGCATAATGTCGACCCCGGACGAATCAAACCCAGTTTATTAGGGCTCCTTAAAAACATACATTTTGCCCATTTGAAACCACCAAAATAAAGGGACGCCACCATTTAAAGGCAATGTTCAGGTGTATAATGTAAGGATCCCAGTTTATTAAATGGGGGGGGGGTTGTCCCTGCGTATAGTTGGTATCCATCACTTTTGCAGGCGAACGAACCCCTATTAACAGGCTGGGCTTGAGCAATCTGGGGTCAACATTAATCTGGGGTCAACGTTACCCAGGAAGTATATGCAGGGGAGTTCTTGGCAGGCCGAGATGAAACTGTGCGTGGCGGAGGCGACGCAACTGACGCTTGGCCTTGGGTATGTTCACATAGGTTCCCCTTGATCTTGAAAACCTTGTCACGTATATTATAGACACTATTAACACAACAACGCTTTGGAGGAAGCACGGATTGTTTGGGAAAACACGAAGGGTCTAATCGTAGCTGAAAGACAAAGCGATGTGGAAAGCCCGTTTTCTGACAGATGTTTTCACTTGGGTGCTGGGGGGGGGGGGTTCTGGCAAACCTTGTTAGCTGTTTACTTTAGCAGTGGTGGCTAGCTGGTGTCATACATGGAGTAGTACAAGGGCTTTAAAAAGTACTGTTGGTATTTTTTGTTAATGTTGAAACGCATGTGGAAACATGAACTGTGTGTGGAATGCTTGACCACAATGGCATGTGCCATTTTGGCTCAAGCATTGTTCTGGGTTCCTGGAACCCAAGCTGTTTGAAAAACTTTGATCTTTGGCATTTTCGAACTTAACCCCGACCAAGCAATGGCTTCCTCGGCAACCTCGGCAACTTCCTTTGAGTTGATTGAGGACCAGACACTCACCGTGGAGGAGGTTGAAATGGCCAGCCAGGAGGCCCAGGACATTCGCACACGGGAGGCGGCAGTGGCGGCCGGCTTGCCCCCCCGTCATCCTCGGCGACCGATGTGATGAAGGACCTCTCCAGTGCACTGGAGCGTCTCCGAGTGGCATTTGCCACACCGACTTCCGGCTTGGGTGCCCCTGGCCCCGCCGAGGAGGGCGACAAGGACATGGGGGATGCGGACGGCACGGAGCGGGCCACACCACCGGAGGAGGCGCAGACGCCACCCACGAAGAGACTGAAGGGCTTTGTGGCGGCTTCTCAGAAGGCTACGTCTCAGGCCAACAAACCTGTCACCTTGGTGCCGGTGGACGGCAAACCCGGGTACTTCAAGCTGGTGGACCTCCCAGACCTGTTTCCAGTCCTTCCAGCGTCGGCGGCCACCTTGCTGAGAGACATCTCGGTGGAGGAGGCGGTCTCCCTGTTCCACAAGTTTGTCGGGAAGAATCTCACCGAGGACCTGGTGATTCGCATCCTGGAGGCGTATGTCCCGATGAAGATCCAGCTCCGCCAGGAGGAAGTCTGGGCTTCGCAGTTCTGGACATCCGGCAGGAGATCCTGTCCATGGAGGCGGACGACGAGGCGTTGAAGGTCCGGGAGAGCCAGGAGATCAAGG